GGGATCTGTTGGGATGGAGGGGATTATGGGCGATGTGGTACATCATGATAATATCCCCTGTGATCCTCCGGTGTTGTGCTGGGTGCAGCTGAAGAGCGACTAAGCGGTCTGGGTACGGTTTGTGCCATAACCCAATCACTTTCTCTGTAGCTCTTCTCTGTACCCGTTATAGCATGGCAATGTCCTTTTTCAAGTATGGGGACATTTAGAACGTACAGAGCATACACTGTGGTGAAAGGAGGAGTTAGACATCCTAAGGTTCGCGAGGGAAACCCCAAGATTCCATAAGCCCTATTGGCGCAAGGCGACAGTGAACAGAGGCTCCTAGTGTATCATTAAGTGTAACTCCCAGATCTTGTTCCATGTTAGAGTGACAGATATTTATTTCCCCTAGAGAGTAAGAAGTGGGACTGCCATCATGTTTGTCAACTGTCATAATTCGACACTTCTTCTTGTTGAGAGGAAGCAGGTTTTCTGTAGTCCAATTAAGGATTTTCGTAAGGTCCTCCTGGAAGATCGAAATATCCGTTGGTTCCTGTATTTCCCTCCAGATCTTCAGATCATCGGCATATAATAGTGAATGTGAATTGAGGACCCGTGGTGGGTCATTGATAAAAGCAAGAAACAGTAGTGGACCCAGTATGGAACCTTGAGGCACACCACTCAGCATCGCGAACCAATCAGAGAGAGAGGAGCCGACTCTAACTGACTGCACCCTGGCGTACAGATAATCTCTAAGCCAAATTAATAATTTCCCGTGTGCACCCATGAACTGGAGTTTCTTACAAGGGATATCATGATTAGACCCTATCAAAGGCCCTAGAAAAGTCAAGTAAACCAATGTGTGTAGGCTCTTTCTTCTCGACAGAGAGTGTCCAGCTATTCCAAGCTATCAACAAGTTGGTGTTACATGACGTTCCTGTCAGAAAGCCATGCTGATAGTCGTTTACAATTGATTTCTGAAGTAAGTGATCATGAAGTGAGTCATTTATGACTCTCCTCATGACCTTCGCAACCGAAGAGATCAGGGAGATTGGTCTGTAGTTGGGAGCGAGTAGTTTGTTTCCACCTTTATAAATTGGGTCTAAACTCTGAATGGTTTAGTCCCTCTGTGATATGGGTGTCCGACAGAGGCGGGGTTTTCCTTCCCGAATGACAGTTGTTTTGGAATTCATGAGCTAGTAAGTTCGCAACTTCGGAGTTGGAATAGAGAATCTCCAAACTGATGGGGCCCTGTAAACTTAGTGTACTGCTACTCTTCTGCTTCATCAATGAGTACAGTATCCATGATTCTCCTCCAGGGTTCTAAAACGTCGTGTCTGGTGGTTTGTTCTGTCACTTCTGACCCTTACTGTACATTTGTTACGGCTGTCTTTATAGTTTAGCCAGCCAGAAGGGCTATCAGTGCACCTTCACAGATTCCAGGACGACCGTTTACTCCGTATTCGTTTGCGCGCGCTTGACTTAAACCAGGAGGAGTAGAACCTGCTAGTTTTTCTTGGGATCAGGGGAGTGCTGTCTTCTATCGTCTGGAGGATTATATTCTTCGACAGACCCCATCTAGAGTCAAGATCCGGTAGGCCATCGCAATTTAAGCAAGCGAAACCCCCTAGATCTTGCCGAGCCTTCTCGAAAGCAGTTCTGTTGTAATTCCTGACTCGAGGCTGATAGGGAACGGGCTGCTTAGATATAGAAATATTGACGGAGATAACTGCATGGTCACTCAGGCCAAGAGGGCTGAAAACATTCAAGTTGCTTACCCCAATGGACTGATTTGTGAAAAATAATCCTGTCGGGATGCCTTACCGTTCAGGTCCCCAGCGAGTACACTGGGAAACGTGTTCCATCAAGGAGTTTTCAAGTAACAATTCCCGAAAGTTTTTTAGAGAAGTAGATGGACTTTCTGTGGCAAAGGGTTGAGGAAACTTAAAATCTCCCATAATGAGGACCTGTGGGAAGTTCAGTTCCAGGGCTTTTCTAATGGACTGTATTAACATTTCATTTAACGTGGCATCCGCTGCAGAAGGGCGGTATAAGACTCCAACTAAACACGGACCTCCTCAGCACTTAATACTACACTAGAGGACATCTTTGATGCCAATTCTGTGAGATTGAATCTCATGGACTTTTAAGGAAGGGCAGGTATAAAGAGCAACGCCACCTCCTGGACCCTCCTGTCTATCCTTTCGGATTAGGCTGAGCTGTCCTAAACGAACTTCCTCGTCTTTTATGTCCTCTGATAGCCACGTTTCACTGAAAGCCATTATGCTATGACTTTCCTCATTCATTAATAACCTCAACTAAGGTACCTTGGAGCATGGGCCTCGTGCATTGCTGAAGGTACACAGAATAAGAGTATGGGGGCCGGAGGTCCCAGAAATCGGTTGAGTTAAGGGTGAGTTGCCAGCCCTTAAATGGCCGGCTTTGACAAGCTTTTTGATAGGGCGGTGGAACCAAGGGCCACTGTACCCACTGATCTCTTTGACTGAGAACTGGTACAGGGTTTTTCTATCTGGGACAAGGCCGATAAAAACTCTTGCTCATCGTCCCACCGTTCTACCGTTAGATGTGCGCTGGCCAACAGCAAACGCTTGAATCGCCTCTCAGCCTGCCTTTGTTCCCTGGGTCTGCACTCGCTTATCTTTATTCCTCTGGGCAATATATCAGATGCGTTATACCAGGATTCCAAGGTAGTTCTAACCGTGTCCGGAGAGTCAAGGGTTAATTGGAGTAGTCTGGGAGTACGTATAGTCGAGAGGTGGGCCGGCCTTGGAAGACGATTAAGTTTTTCGGCCCTCACATCGATTTGGAGTTTGCTGACAATATATCTTCACTGATTTTTGTCGCGGGTAAGTTCAGCAGTATTGGTACCCGAACATTCGGGAGTCCAGTGTATAAGTACTGAGCAGCAAAACTCTTGAGAGTGAATCTTCTTGCCGGTGCGAGGACGTTCTCGCACTGACCAGGGTCTATCAGGCCTAACCTGGCGTCAGACATCTTGCGTTTCACCAACTGATGACCTTCCAGAAGGATGTGTTTGGACTGACGTGCGCTATCAAGGGATACTCTTAAAGGTCTAGGAGAGCCTTTCGGGGAGAACTGACCATGCACTAGGCGTTGGAGAGATGGAGTGCAGGGAGAGGTTCCTAGGAGTTTGCAAACACTCTTCCACAGATCAAGGTCACGTTCTTTACGATCGGTCAATGAGGAGGAGCCACCTCCCTGAACGCTGAAGAGTATGAGCGATCTAAGATTAAGGTTGTGGTCTGTCTTTTGGAGCCTATCCCAACTTGTGAATACAGACTCAGATTTCTGATAAGCCTTTCGCGAGTGACTCGGAAGACCTGAGGTGCCAGCTGTGGGAGTTTTCCTGGTGATTGAACGAGGCCGGTGGTGAAATGCAGGTGCCTTCCGCCCTGAGTTACAGGCGGTGGGGGCAAGATCTACTTTTTTCGGAACGTTTTTCGCCTGAGTGGGAGGGGCAGTGTTCAGCTTACGGTTCGGCTTCTCATTAGGCTGAGTAGTCGTTACTCTGTCAGACTCGCGACCGTTGCTTAGTGTTCCATTTTTAACTGAACTGACCTGCCTACATTTCATCAGACCTTTCTTTCGGCGCTTATCGGGCGTGAGATTCTCGTTCATCACTGAGAGGATTTGTTCCAAAGGCAAGCTAACGGGGAGACAGTCCGTTACAGTATTGAATTCACTACTTCCCTTACTGCTAACTCGAGGGATCTTTTTATGGCCATGAGACTTCTTTAGATTGAGGCTGGTTTGTGTAGGGGTCTCAGTTGTAAGATGGTCGGAGTTCTGTCTTACTAGCTTTAAGCCTATTTGGTACTGACTTTCGGACCTACAACATGGACAAAAATACCAACCACCATCAAAAGGGTCATTAGCAGTGCTTCATAATAACCAGTGGCTGGCTGAAATCACAGGAGCAGTGAATCCATTGAGAGCAAAGCTCACAACCCATCGCCTTAGCTGAGAGGCTGACATTTCTGCGACAAACTACGCAGACATCCTTTGAAACTGTCATTAGACTGTATAAAGGGTAGAAAAATGTTTGTTCAAGGAGTTATGGACCTCAACACAGTAAATATAACAAACTAATCAAAATTTGTCAAACCCCACTGTCCTTTTTGAAAAGCGCTCGTTAGCATGATGATTACCTGATATGGAGTCAAAACCGTAGTATTACAAAGCACAACTTACAGTCGTCGTGTGACTTGTGGCTGTTGTTCTGAAATTACTGCCACAGGTTGACGAAATTCGTCCAGGGTCCACTTAGCTGAGTTACTCCCTGCCAACATATCAGAGATGATACGAGACATGCAGGAAATTAATCTGGTAAAGCTGCTAGCCGCCAAGTCTAGCATTACCACTTAGGGTATGATAGCGCAGACTCTTGAGAGCACCGAAGAGGCGTAACCAAAAAAGGAACCGAACCTCAAGACCTAGAAGGGGGCTCTAAAACCACAAGTTTCCTCTACTCACACTGATGCTAGGTGTTTTTTTGGAAGATAGAAACTGAGCTTCATGATATTCCAGGATTAAAAATGTCAACAATTGCATTTCTGCGTAGTCCTCAAGCGCGATCTCGACTAAACTAAACATTTAAAGGTTAATTAGTGTCAATTTACCTTTTATCCTTATTTAGAAGATCTGGAAATTGAGTTTTGCCTTGGACGCATCAGGGACAATTTGACTTATCAAGGTCATCCTCTAAATTACCCTGAGCGGCTATTGCATGAAGTCAGTGCATATGTAATGGCAATAGTCTTTCCGATACACCACCTCAAATTATTGACGATAAATTCCTAAGTGTGGGATTCACAATTGATCGGAATGAATACTATGAAGTCACTTTCCATCACACGGTTCAACCCTCATATAACAAGTTCCAAATAATCAAATATGTGAAAATCATCAAGGCAGCTAGTAGTGACACTGCTAAGCAGAGTTGCAGGAAAAATGATGTGCTTTATGATGATTTTCGGATGACAAAGTTTCTATCTAGTGTATCTGTAAGTTTTTGTTTCTTGCCATGACAATAAGGAAATTTCCACTTTATGCAGATGCCAGCGAGGTTACGTCATCCTTCCATCCTTCAAGTTCACAAATCGTGGTCTAATTCAATAGACACCTGGTGTTTAGTTGTAGAAAATTCAGTGCCATTTAATACGTTTTCCGAAAACCCAATGGCAGATGAATTATTGTCTGGATCACGCAGTTTACTCTCTGCTCTCAGTTTCCTGCACAATACAGTAGTTTGCTGTTTTGTTTGACATTTGCTTTTGCAGCTCAAAGTCTCGCATAATAATGTGGCGACTTCTAGCGTTTTTGTTGATTCTCGTATGTGTTGGAAATTGTGTGGGTTTGAGTTCGCTTTAAAATTCGATGATATGTCAGCTGATCAGATACGCATAATCGAAG